CGATTAAAATCGACGAATTACCGGTGCTCAACCGGCGAGAGCCGGGCCTATATCCGCATGAACCGGTGTGAACCACGTATAAAATAAAAACACACGCGGTTACCCGTGCGGTTTAGCGGGTCTACATTCGTGTTTGGGATATATCGTCGTATATCCAGTGGCTATGACTGTCATAAATAAAAACAAAATGTAAAGAAAATTTGTCATTCTTGCTCTTGCAACATCTTGAGTGGCTTCACTCAAGATCTTGAAATTTCTTAATACAAGATCTTGGCCAAGAGCTTGAAACATCTTGGCTTACGCCACCCAAGATCTTGAGTGAAAAATTCAAGAATCCAAGATCTTGACTTCTTGGTGTTTTTTCCAAGATCTTGTGACATTTTTTAACCCAAGATCTTGGGTACAAGAAGTTCCACTAGGGAAGACTACGTTTTCAATTTTTCGAGAATACGTTTAATAATGCTCTTCTTATTGAATATTTTTACATGGGTGATGTTAGTAAACACAGTTAGGCTTACAAAACCAACTAGGGTAGTTAAAGTCTACTTCAGCTCTCAAAGTAACGCTCATTATGACGCAGTATAGGCAAAGACATTAAAAAGCCTAAAAGAACCTATCACAGGTATACATACATCCCTCTGGCAGCTGGACGAACGATGAAATGTTTACATTCATTTTCTTATTATATATAAAAAAGATTATATATATCATTTATCTATCTTATCTATCAAACATGTTGAAAACACACGTCGCACATAGAATTTGAAAACGAACACGCTTCATAATAGAACGTTTTAAAAAGAGCACATTTTAACTGCGATCTTGACATGTTTGACGTGTGTTCTCCACACAGAACCCACTTCGCCAGTTTTGACAGTGAAGCTAGGTCTAAGTCGCTAGTGTCATCGTGAGTTTATGTTGATCGTGGCAACTTAGGCCCGGCTTTCAGTCCTAGCGTACGTATCTTGACCGTTTTAGCTTCCCATGACCGCGCAAAATACAGAGAAACGGCTATCAGATATTCTATGGATAAACCAATCACAAGACAGAAAAATAGAAAATTATTTTTTACACGCGAGCGAAAACATTCAAAGAGATGACTAAAATAATCTTTACTGATGCAGAGGAGAAAAGCTAAACAAACTTTTGCTGTAGTTCGGGGAGAGATGTCGCCAGAAATCAGCCGGTTTTGATAACACAAAAAGTCACCTACGGATAATAAGAGTTCCAGAATATAGATAATCTACCATGGCGAATCTATCAGAAATACTTGCAGCCCTCCTTGGATCTTCAGAGGGTGTCCAGAAAACCTTTAGGTTTATATTACATTGTGCGCTTTTTCTGAGCAATCAGAGAAGTTCACAACATTTCTCTGTTATCCTGGGTGCAAAGCCGATCGAGGAGATTCGTGAGCATTGTGTTGGATTTAAAAATATTTTTAGACCTCTGGGGATCTTTGGAGAGTCTAGAGAAAACTTTTAAGATTTACATTAGATTACGAAGCTTACAGTTAAAATCAAAGAAAAATCATAACATATTTTAGGTAGTCCTCTAGCGAACATCGACCGAAGGGAGGTGTGTGTGAGCGTTGTTTTGGATTCAAAGTCATGGAAGGCCGTTCCCAGATATAAATTCCTAAAGTCAACTGATCGAGCGAATGCAGACGAGCTTTACCTTGTTTATAAACATGAGATCCGTGGCTAATCCAGCGCTACTCAAAATGTACAAAATTTGAAAAAAGGCCGTGCTAGTAGCAACAACGCACGCAGGACTTTGCTAGAAGGTGCGCTGAATGATTTTCATTATGCTACTTTCTAAGTTTTCTTGCTGAATTATCAGAGTTTCCTTTCTTTCATTTGAAGTTGTATTATAATAGTAAGTGAAGCCTCTATCGCATGTAGCGCACATATATTTACCGTAATCTTTTAAGTCTTGAAAACTTAGAACCCGATTTTTTTTCGGTGACTTAGAATTTAAAATTATTTGTTTCAGCGTGTATGCAACAATAAACACACAAACATTTGATGTTCTGACAAGTGTTATTGACGACGATAATGATGAGCTGCTAGTACCGCCAGCATTTTCACCGCCGATAGCCACTAACAAAGAAAACATTACATTAATTTGGTTCGATCCAAGTATTGATTCAAACGATGATACAGATGAAACAAAGAAACAATTACGTGAAATAAATGATTTTGTTATTTTTTATACGAATCAAGAAGATTGTATGAAGTACATTGTATCCATCAAAGATGAGCGAATTTTTCTCGTTACATCTGGACGTCTTGTGGACAATATTCTGTCGAGTACTCATTCATTGCCTCAGCTTAATTCCACCTTTGTTTTTTGCATGAAGCCAGAAAAGTATAAGCATCTTGAACAAAAATATTTCAAGATCATTGGAGCCTTCGATAGACAAACAGAAATGTGTACGGCTATAAAAGAGAATGTTAATCAAGTCGAAAAGAAAATGGAAATATTTAGTCGATCAACATCGATAAAAAGCTATGAGAGACCTGTCAAAGGGGTCAGCTAAATTTCTATGGTTCCAGAAGTTTAAGGAGGTTGTTATGTGCATATCACGTGGCAGTCGTGCCAAACAGCAAATGATTCAATTTTGTCGTCAGTATTATCATGGTAATGAAAAACAATTACGATCCATCGATGAATTCGAAAGTGGTTATACGTCGGACAAAACTATTCTGTGGTATACGAGAGATACATTTGTGACACAGAACGTCAACGGGAAAAACGTTGCCGTTCCCGTTCAAATCTTTGTCAAATCAACGTGAACGACTACAGTCTTAGACATGTCCCTGTACGATTAAAATAACTAGAATATACTAAATCTATATACTTTCCTAACCCGACTTCCTGACGACTTTTTAATTACAGCCAAAGAAATTATTTCATATCAAAAAATTAACAAAAGCTTGATGATACTTTAAGCAAAAAGTTTTTCACGTCTGTTTCTTCTTTTGAGTTCTCGTGATTTTTGTGTCATTATATTCCTGATCAAGTTGTTATAGTTGTGTCGAAATATAGGTGATATTGTGAGATATAAGTAGAAATCGATACATGTAGTAATACAAAGGAAAAATTGTATTATATCCCAAATGAGATGCTCAATTACTCGACGTTTGGGTGATTTTATTGTTTTCAGAGTGAAAAAAATATACGGTAGTCGAATGGTTATCGGTAGTGTTTCGAGAATAATTAATATTATCTGAATAATTAGCATATGCGCTATTTCAGTATGAGTTCGTTGTAAACGTTTGTTTATTATTTGTCTGGCTGATACATGTTGTCTGAGTTTTTTCAAATTTCGTATCGTAGCGACTGTGAATCCAAGTAAAAATGATATGACCAGAAACGGTAAAAGCACAGTTGTAACAACAACGATGGTTCCTGAAAATCCCGTGGCGGGAGGTCCGCACTGACGTTTATTATTAATAATAGTGATATCAGAATCCTTAAGTACGACTATGGCATATACTGCCCACCACACAATAGTTAAAGTCAAATAACGACGTGTATTGATCGACATTGGT